GTGTGACGTTTGCAATGATGAAAACCCATTTGAACTTACGTCGTAAACCGAGGTCGATGGTTACGAGTTGTTGTCCAAATGTGTCGATGGTGGTGCCAGTTTGCTTGCAGTTTGTAGTCAGATTTGGGTCTTTTGAGGTGTTGTCGTGAAGGTATGATACTTACCTGGGCTCCTGTGTCGACCAAAAACCTTGTCTTTGAAATGTTATCGGTGACGTAGAAAAGGCGACACGGTTTGTTGAATGTTGATGTGGTGTCTTGTTGTTTTTGCGGCTGTTTGTTGTTGTTTGTCACTACTTTTGTTTGTTGATGTTTGTTGATATTCGATGTTTGTACATGATGTAGGCGACTAAAAGTGTTGTGGCCAGAGGTTGCCGCCGCCATTAGCAACTTGGCCTGGTAGTTTGACGACTTGGCGACTTTTGCTTTGTAGTTGCATGGTCTCGCACACTTTTTTGCTCTGTCCCCATACGTTTTATGGTACCAGCAAACATCTGTCTCCTCACCATCTGCTGCTCTAGATGGGAATTTTGTCTTCGTTAGTTGTTGTTGTTGATGTTTGCGCCTGAATGCAAATACCTCATCTCTCTTAGTCGTTGTCTCTTCGGTACCAGATTTTGTTACGGCGTTGTGTGTTATGGTGGTAGAACCATTTCGATTGGATATTTGATGCATTCGGTCAGCTATGGTCGCTAACCTTTGTAGCGTCTCGTCGGTTGAGACTGCTAGATGCATTTGTATTGCGGATGGTAGCTGGTCCAACCACAATTGTTTCAAAATGCTATCGTCTCTATTGTTTGCCCCCCACAGGCTTTGCATGTGCCTCAATAGTTGTGATGGCGTTCTGTCTTCCATGGCCACGCCTCGAAGCAAAGTGCGCAAATTTACTTCGTCTGAAGCCGAATACCTCTACGTTAACACGCGCTTCAGTGAGGTGTAAGTTTGTGCCGACGCCAATTCCTTCTCCACATCTATGATGACATCCATGGGTAGGCTTTCGACCAGCGTGGGGTACCATTCAATCTTCTTCTGAGAAACCTCGGCCCTTAAGCACATTTTCAAAATATGTGAACCACGCTTTGGGGTTCGCCGTGCTGAATGTGTTTAGTTGGAGTGGGACTCTCGTCGCTGTTCTCTTTGTCGTGGTTTCGCAAGCCATCGCGTTCGGGGTCACCAATTTGTTGCGGGTTTCTTTAGATATAAGAAACAACAAGTAAGAATGTTTGTAACGTATTTATTTACGTAATACAAAATAAATGAAAATGTGTTCGGCAATGCAATTAGACAAAGAGAAGTTCGATCGTAAAATGTCGCAAGAAGAAGGGCTGTTGTCTTTGTGTTGAACCTGTATATAGTAAGTCGTCACATGCTTAGATTAGGGTTGTGCGGTTCAACAATACAATGAAATACGGTAGATTTGAAATACATCACTATTAATTTAAAATTAAAAAAGTACCTGAAAAGAAGCATTCCGGTCGGTATTTGATGTAAATATTGAAGATCTATTTTCGGAATTGTTTAAATTGTGTCAAAAATCATTTGAAATATCAGAAAAAGTATAAAAAATTAATTCATGTTGAAAGGGGTTTGTTTGTGTTTTGTTTGATTTTTGACTTAACTGGCTCCGCTTAACAAAACAGAGCTTTGACAACTCTATCTATATCGATCGACGGATATGATTCTAAGATGAAAATATTTTAGAGGCTCAACACCGCGCTGCCATTTAAATTTAATCAATCAATCAATCAACCAATCACTTAACCATTC